CTGATCATTGATCCCCCAGACCAGCAGCACGGGTCTTGGATGCTCCCCTACACGGGAGTACTCGGCCGTCATGTCAAAGAAAGGGACTCGGTCCTGAACGAGAGCAACGACTGAGGTGAGAGTGCCGGAACGATGGAAGCTACCAGTATCGCAAGACTGCTTGAGATGCCATCCCGCTTCACTAGAGTTTGCCAGACCACTCTCCGCCAGAACATTTCCTGCCACTCCAGCTCAGCCTACAACGTTGCGACCAAGTACAATGTGACCATTTGGGCGTCATCGATGATGAACCGTGCATACCTCAGTGCGAGGCTCGTCTCCTATAGCACAGGCTCGCTGTGCCACAAATTTGTCGCGGGCGAAAATACACGAGCACACGCAGTGTTGAGCTAGCGGAATAATGCAGCAAGGGCAGCAATGGAGCAGCTGATAACTAAATGGTTTAACGGGGATGAACCCAGCTGGACTCAGGAGGACGAGCCTCTGACATAACTCTGGGTTCCTACAGGGACGTGGAGTGTGCAAAGGCTATCTCTTCCGTGACACTCACTTATCGACGAAGCTGACGGCCACTGCTCCTCCAAAGCTGAATCCAATCAGGCTTATAATCAAGTCGCGGTCAATGAGCTTCAAATGATCCATAAGAAAGTAGAGCTGGTCTACAAAAAAGTCCAAATCGTAGGAGGCCCGCTGCTGGCAGCAGCATTTGCCAGCCCCTGTACAATGAGCTACAGGGGGAGCGTTGGAAAGGCCGTGACCATACATATCATAGGTTAGAACCTTGGAACCAGGTGGTCGAATGGCAGAGCGACGAGTCTCGACTCACCATTCGGCTCCTCGAGAGAACCTGCGCTAGATCCGAATACAGCATCTTCGACCCATTGAGGCCGTGTAAGCAGATAGCGAGTTCTTGTGTGTTATGTTCTGTGCCGAGCAGTTGATAGGATACGCAGCCATAAGGGCCTGAGTCCCGGCCGCGTGATGATGGTGTACTCTGGCTGATCCCTACCATCGACACTGTTAGTCTCGGGGAAGGGACATTCTATATCCCGGAAAAGCTTCGAGACGCGCCGTCGTGAGTATAGTCTGGGGCCGTTAGTCGCCCTTTCCGATCCGAGTATAGCCGATGAGCTCGATGAGTCTCTAGTATGAACAGCTGATAGAGAAGGATCCCCAGTACTTATAGCCGAGTCTATCGCGCTGGGCATGAGTTAAGCTATAAGCACTGCCAGAGAGGAAAACGAGCGCCCCACGATATCGGCATAGTGGAGGGAAGATACCACCAATAGAATGGTCCCCGATTCAGAACAAACCCAATAGCGATTCAGTCATTAACAACACACGGATGGGCAAAAGCGCCCCTTTGCCAGCATGGGTTTGCAGCTATGGAACCGAAGAGAACAACAAAAAACGCCACGCTGCTTCATGTCGATTAATTCCCCTTCGAGGCTTTCTCCTGGGCAATCTCAATCGGCACCGTCAGATCAACCACAGGCATAGGGACAGCCTCGAAAGCCTTGGAAACCTGATTTGAAGAGACTCACAGTCCGGCTATGCCTATAAGAATGCTTCAGAGTCTCACCCTAGTTCCCATTTCAGCACACAGATCTTGAACTCTCTTGAAGCCTTTGGAGCTGGATATAGCAGCCGGCATCAATGAGCTGCCGCAGGAAGCGTCCTGAGTACAAAAATCCGCCATGGTTGCATAGGTGATCTTTAACCTCCTGGGAGATGGTCGATTCCTCTTCAGCATCCAAGTTGAAGATATTACCACGAGCTTGGTATCTGAGAAGACGTTCAATCATAGCGACCATGACCCTGTCTTCACAACAGGGCTATCAGCCGAAAGACCAGCTCCTTCGTAGCTTACTCAGGGCTCTCTCTGCATTCAGAGAGAGCATCAGAAACTCCAATGGCACCAAGTATGGTGGCGATGTCAAGCATTATTATGGTGGTAGGAAACGCTGATGAACTGTAAAGAATTCAATTGAGGCTGTCAGCCACGCCGCATAGCCTCACGTAGTTAACGAATCTCATAATCGCATAGGGGTCCAAGGCACCAGACTCAAGGTTTAGTGGAGAAATCCGCGTGGGTTCGACTCAAGTTCTGGTGAAGAAATCCG